GACCACATATGTGCTTTGGTGAATGGAGTGGATATAATGTTTGATGTAAAGCTGCTTGGTGAAATTCTTAAAGTTCCTATAGCCGGTGTGTCCAGTGTAAAGGATGTCTGTCAGTTCAACTTCAGAAATGCCATGGTAAAGGACAACGCAAACTAGAAGGGGGACCAGATCCATAAGAAGGCATTACTCCCAGTCTATCAGCTACTTTTTGAGTTGGTTAACAAAGTTCTATTGCTTCGCGCTGAGAGAAGGTCTGTGACCTCTAAGTCTGACCTGTTCTTGATGGAGCAACTGGACATCTTTAACCCTGTAAGCCTGCCTGCTATTATGATTGAGCACATGCAAAAGGTAGTCACCTTCAATGATGGCAATAATAGCCTTCATTACGGGTTTTTGCTTACCAGAGTGTTTAATTTCTTTGCAGTGCCATTGGGGAAAGGGAAGGTGGGGACTAATAAGCAGACTTTCTCACAGACTACATTAGAAGAATGCGAGTGCCTGGAAAAGAATGAGGGGGTAGGAAGTACATCAACCGTCTCACAGCTAATTAATGCTCAGAACAGTGGAATTGAGGAAATTCGTCGGTTGAAGGCTAGGAATGCTATCCTGGAAGGTCAGTAAGCCCAAGGGGTTCCGGCGTCAAATGATGAGGTAGCTCGTTTGGCAAAGGAGAATGTTGATCTCAGGGCGCAAGTAGAGAACCTGAAAGCATAACTGCTCAACGAGCAAAAGTCGGCCAATGCCCAAATAGACCTTATTCTCCAAACACTTGCTGCAGCCTCCAAGCCTTTTACTCCTAGTGCCCCTAAGTGTCCCTTCAGTGACCAAATTCTGGAAATGTTCTTCATTTTATTTTGTTTTTTTTGTTGTTTTGGCAGATGTTTTGTTTTCTTTTTTTTATGTGGTTGGGATGAAACACTACTGCTCCCATTTTAACAGTCCAATATTGCCTCTTGCTTTTCCAGAAAAGGCATATTAAAATTTTATCAATATAAATTCTATCCTCTTTTATTATATCAGTGCTTTACTTCTGTGTTTCTATTCTCTATCATGTTTGTGTGCACATATGTGGCATGAGTTAGCTTGGCTAGACTTCTTTGTCATGTTCTTCTGATTATGTCTTTTTAATGATGGCAAAAGGGGGAAAATAATAGTATAATATGACTATAAAATCTGGGGGAACATATAGGGGAAGATAACATGTGTAAAAGGGGCATAAAGTCAGGGGGAACTTGTGTTCTCCTGTTACTTAATCTGGTTCTCTTAGCTTTAAATCTGTTATCAATGTTAAGTTTGTCATCATCAAAAAGGGGGAAATTGATAGATTTTCAATATATTTGTCTTATATTTTGATGATCTAACAAACTTAATGTCAAGGACCAGATAGGGAACCTGACTCAATTGGACTGCACTGCATTTAACGGATTCCCGCTAAAGGTGAATTGCTATAGCTTCGGGAGCTAGGAAACTAAACAAGGACATGATACCCTTGTGGTTCTCTCATAGAAGTACAAAGACAATTACGCACAGCTGGAAATCAAGTGACTGCCTGCACTGTTTCTGCCGCACTGCACTGTTTCCAGCGCCCACTCATTCCTTGACCAACTAAAGTGCTCACATCATTTCAAGTGATGTGATCAAGGTGTACCAACAATGAGTTCATATTAAAAACATCACTTGAATGTTTCAGTTTCTTATTCAAGCATTTTCCAAAAACAAAGAAATCAATCCTCACGAGCTTGAAGAACAAAGTTGAATGCAACTATGGACCAGTTCCTAAAGTTAGCATGTTGTAGTCCTTAGTTGAGTTGTAACTTTGTGATTGTACTTATTGTATCTCCTAAATTGCTTAGCTAGAAGCGTTGATTAGGAATCCTCTTGTAAAATTCGTAAATTCCTTGAGTTTATGTTGTGACTAGGTTTAGTCATAAGCAAAAGCCTTTGTAACTGTAGAGTGACAAAGTGACTTGTGGTGAGAGCATCACAAGTTAGTAAAAGTCTTTGTAACTAGGGAGTCACAAAGTGGCTTGTGGTAAGAGTATCATAAGTTAGTTGAGTTAAATTCTTTGTACTAGAGTCATTACAAAGTGGCTTGTAATAGATTTTTACAAGTTAGTGAAGTTGAAAGCCTACTGGTGTAGGTCGTGGTTTTTGGTCCCCTTATGTGGGATTTTTCCACGTAAAAATCCCGTGTTTCATTTACTTATAGTTTATTAGCATTCTCAGCAGAATCGCGTAGAGGACCAGGTACTGTACTGTTTGGTGGACTCATACAAACTAATAAGATGCGTAATGATGACGCACGTGGGAGTGACGTCACATCTTGATAACCACATCAATTTGGATTCCGCAGGACACTTCACTCTCTCGATCTTGGTCAACCTGACGTAATTTAATGGCCAAATTCTCCCATAACGAAAACGAACGATGTCCGCTTATCAAGGACGCGTAGGGCTGCGACTTAAACAAACGGAGAGACTAACTGTATAGGTCCAAATTTGGCAACCAAGGTAACGGATAAGCAAGACATAGGATGGGGTCGACCATGACACAGTGACCGATGGTCGTAGTGATAAAGGCCGACGATAAAAAGCGGGCAACTGAGATAAAATAATAACGGTAACTTGGACTTAGGGAGAGACAGGAAAAATATTCATTTGGATATTCTTTGTGTTGTACTTTTTAGGGATTTTTTGGGGAATATCCCCCTTTTACACTATAACCTTTATCATTTCTTGCATTTACTATACATTTAGGACATTACATGTTTTGCCACTCATTGCATATCAACTTTACTATTTAACACTCCTAAGCTGTGCCCGTTGCATGAGAATCTTGCTTCATTTGATCTAGGATTCATTAAGTCCAACTGAGATTCACCTTATTAATTTACTAGTAATCGGTTTAGCAATATTTTGCTCAAACAAGATTCATCGATATTTCGTCACTAAATTGCTCGTAGCTAATAAGATTTTTTGATAATCCGTCACTAATCCATCTGTAGATATCAAGATTTTGCTAGATCAAGACTCCAAATACATTTAGGATAGACCATTAAATTGGGCACCTAAAAGACAAGCTCGTATATGTTATTCAAACCCAAGGGTTATTAGAGTGCTTGAGGGCTATTCTACCCTAATTAAACCTTGACTCACATCTATAAGGGGGCACATATTCCCTTTGAGAGGCATCTCAAAAATTCTATAAATTTTTGAGATATTCACAAAAAGATCTCGAAAAATCCATAAACACTTAGGATATTTATTAAGAGATCAAAGACGAAGTGATCAAGATAGATATGCCACCAGACACATCCTAAAGATCAATTTGAAATGTGACTAGACACTTCTTTTGACAATTAAATAATTCAAGAAGATCCATAACATTCTTCGTTTGAGAGATATGTCACTTTGGCCCTCGATTGAAGAATTAAGAAGATAGATCAAGAAAGTTATTTCTCGTGATCGATTCAAAATATTGCTCGATTAATTTTCATAGGGATCAAATACATCTCAAGTTATTCTACGTTCGAGAAACACGCTGCTTCAGCCCTCAAATCATAGAGAACAATTTGAAGAAAAATTAAGGGATAAACAAAATTATAACTACAACGGTTCATTAATAAAATAGTCACTTTTAAGATTGCTAATTAACGTTTAGTTGCTATTCAAATATTCAAACTTTAGTCGATTTATAATATCGAAATGAAATTTAGACAAAATTCCCCTAGCTAACACATGAAAAAGCTCAAGAAATTTACATTCAAAGTTTCAAACTCTACAAAAGTTTCTAGGATGTGAGGCAGTAATACTTAAGAAATATTTAAAAACTTAGGAGAATTTGAAGAATACTTTAAGTGAATTACATAATTATACACACAAACTTTATTTTTTTTTTTCAAATGAAATTCATGTTCAAAATCCAAAAAGAACTCCAACTACCAATTTCCAATCTCTCTTATTCAAATTTCAAATTTCAACTTCCAGCCAAATAAATTGAAAGGGAAATTTTTGTTGGGTGGAACTTCTTCAATATTACTATTTCTTTTTTCAGTTTTATTTATTTGAGGTACTGCAGAAAAAAAAGAAGAAGCATAATTGGATCCAATTTATAGTAATCCATTAGTTAACATTTTGGTTAACCGTATTTTGAAACACGGAAAAAAATAGTAAAAATGGCGTGTGATAGCCACTATTGAAGGTGAAATTTATTTTTTATCCAGTTATTTTAATATTGAGCAAAAATAATCACTGCTCTATTAAAATTAATATGAAAGGATATTTTACCTTTTCTTCCATTGCCTTTCTTCTCAAACCCTCGCTTCTCTCTAAACTCACTCCGATTGAGATGGCTTCGTCGTCTCAACCGAAAAATGCAACACTCTTATGTTGAATCTCTTTACTACGCAAACATTTTACAAAGTATTTAGAATTTAGCCATTTCGCTGCTGTCTTCTTATGTTGCTTTTTTTCTTCTTTTTGCAACAATTTTGTTGCTTCATTGTTCCGGAAACAAACCAATTTACTATATATATATTGTATACGATCAAATCGGAGAGCTCGATTTTGAAGACTTGATCATACCTTGAGCTCAAAAGTTAAGGACATTTGGTCCTGAATTTACAGTTACAAGTTTAAAAGTTAAGAATAAGTAGTCCTGAAGTTAAGTTCAAAGTTAAGGACATGTAGTCCTGAAGTTAAGTTCAAAAGTTAAGAAGATGTAGTCCTGAAGTCCTGAACTTAGAGTTTCAAGTTCAAAAGTTAACGACATGTGGTTCTGAAGTCATGAACTTAGAGCTACAAGTTCAAAAGTTAAGGACATGATCAGAAGGGTATTTTCGTTCGGGCAGTTAAAGTTTATTAAAGCAATGACTAAAGACTAAAAACATTTTAAACAGTGACTAAAAAATAAATACATGTGTTATTAGTGGTCAATCGTGCACTTCCCAAAAAATTATATATATATATATATATATATAACTACTAAAGTTGTGGCTGTAGAGGTTCAAGAAAATATCCAGAGAGAGTACAATCTACAGTCTCTTCTTCCAATCAACCATGGCGATGACCAAAGCTGAAATTCTACCCCAAGAAATCATAATTGATATACTTTCTCGGCTGCCGGCAAAGTTGATAGGCCAATTTAGATGCGTGTCAAAGCAATGGCGCAATTTCCTCTCAGACCCACAATTCATCAAATATCACTTTTCCATTCATAATAAAGAAGAAAAACTCATTTGCATCTCTCGTTCTCACTCTCTCAACACTATCACTTTTACCCACAACTCCCATAATAAAACTGATGGCATTTTAAGAAAGCTCAATTTTCAGCAGCTTTCAGATAACTGGGTAAGAATTTTTGGATCATGTAATGGGTTGGTTTTGGTGGGAAATGAGGAAAATATTATATTTTTAATCAACCCCACAACTTTAAATTACCACAAAATTCCAGTATTTCAATTTGCTCGGCAAATGCGTGGTAGCTTTAGCGTGTCTGGTTTAGGGTATGATTTTGCTAATGATGATTATAAGGTAGTTGCTCTTTCTCATTATTACTACGAGCATGAACCGGATATTAGAAGTACTTTTATTGATATCTACTCTGTGAGAAAGGGTCTTTGGAGGAGACTTGAGAATTCGCCTTATGATCTTGAAGATTCATTGCTAACTTATGGGGTTTTGGTAAATGGGGCTTTGCATTGGTTGGTTTGTAAACTTTTCGATGATTCATTTGTAGTTGTTGCTTTTGATTTAAGCGATGAGACATTCTTGGAGATGCCAACACCTACTAATATTGATAACAATAATGTTGTGTGTTATGATCTTGTGGCCGTTAGAGGGTGTCTTTGTATGTTCACTGATACAGAAGAAAACAGAATTGATGCTTGGATAATGAAAGAGTATGGGGTTGAGGAGTCTTGGACAAAATTTAGTATTACAGTACCGAAATCATTGTATGGTTTCTTACCCCTTTGTTTAATGAGTGATGATGATGTCGTATTGGATGGAGAGAAGTTGATTGTCTATAATATGAAAGAGGAACAATGGAGAGATATGAAGGTTGATGGAGTAACTGCTAAGTTTAGAAGGACTAGAACTTTCGTGGAGAGTCTTGTTTCTCCTATGTTTGGCGAAGGAACTGAGGGTTACAATATTGCTTGATGCAGTATTTTGAGATGATGTTGTACTCAGGTATTACACCAGTATTTTTATGATATCTTATTCATTTTTAGTGTATTTCGCGTAGTATCTTTGATTTGGTCTTTATGTTCGATCAATAAAATGATCCAGAGCGTTTTATGCATGGTAGTTTGTTTGTCCTCAGTGAGTTGTGTGAATGGCAATTCTCTCGTCCTCATAAAGTTTTGTGATGCTAATTCTTTAGTACTGAATATAAGGTTACAGAGATTGGTTCTGATAAGGTTATACCTTTTTGTTTTAATGGATCAATTAATTTAATTGTTCGCTATATTCAACTTTGCCTCTTGTGTTTCAGTATTCAGATTTGGGTACATCGATGATATGTTTTAAAAGATCGTCTATATGTTATATGGAGTAATTTCTTTGGTAAGTGCACAACAGAGGTAAGAAACTAAAGTCTTAAGAATGTTTAATTTCTAAATAAAAGGTTGGAGTGTCTCAAAATCATAGCACGAAGTATACAAAAGTATATAGTTGGACAAATGTTTTTCTTTACACCGGTGAGCCTTGGCGTTTCTCGTAAAGTTGTTGCCATATGACCAGGAGGTCACGGGTTCGAGCCGTGAAAACAGCCTCTTGCAGAAATGTAGGGTAAGATTGCGTACAATAGACTCTTGTGATCCGACCCTTCCCTGAACCCCGCGCATAGCGGGAGTTTAGTGCATCGGACTGCCCTTTTGGCCGTTGAAAAAGACCGTTAGTCTAGATCACTTCCCATTGATCTTCAGCAAAAATACAGTGTTGATGAGTTTAGAACTTGCCCTAATTGATTAGATATCAAATTGGTGCATATTTTTGTTTACTGTGTTAGGTTCTTTTGTCATTTCTTTGTTTATATATCTGGAGGAATCCCCTACCAAATACTTGTAATATGATTGCCTGCAAATGTGATGCGACGAGTGACTGATAATACTAACAAAGGTGGTTTGAGATTATAAGGTAGTTAACTTAAGATGAGCCAGGTTGGACTGAATGTTTAGACATGCGACAAAGTTCCTATTTTTTATGCCTAATGATATCAAAGATCTTTTGTGAAGCAACTATCACCTGTACCACCTATAGAAACAGGGGATATAGTTCCATACTTGTATCTGGTACAGTGTCCATAAAACTCGAACTATGGAAAAGCTCGAGAAGGGAGTAATCGATACCTGACAGCTTCATGTTAAGCTAGACTTTCAGTTTTATGTTATGCTGATTTGTTTGAATATTGAAAGTTGTCTATGTTGATCTTTTCAAGAAGTAAAGTTTGACTTGATTTCATTGCATTTGGGAATGATGAATGCAGTGGAACATCGAAGTAGGCATCCATTTGAAAGATATTTTCTTTATGGACGTCCAACAACAACAACAAACCCAATGTAATCTCATAGGTGGGTCTAGGAAGGGTAATGTATATGCTTACCTTATCCCTACCTCGTGAAGATAGAGAGGTTGTTTCCGATAGATACTCGGTTCAAGGAACAGTGAAAATAAAGTAACAAACAGTAGCAACAACAATGCAATAGGAGCAAATAGCACAACATGTAATAATAAAGAACCAGGAATAAGAGAAATACAAAAATAGTACTAGTACTATTGGTAAGACTAAGAGACACTAGCGACTACCTGTCACCCTTGATGGACGTCCAAGAATGTCAAATGGACATGAATAAGTTTGGTCTTTCTTAAAATGCCTCAAGAGTATCTTACTCACCTTAAGAAGTAACAGAGACNGAGCAGGCAAACTATGTTTTGGTGTGAATAGAACTAAGTCAAGATACTTTTGCTGTTATTGTGTTTGCTGAGCTATAATAGTATATAAAAAGATGTGTGCATTTGTTCGAGCTGTGTTGAATCTCGACTTGTCTTATTTCACATCAGGTTGTTGTCATGACAAATGAGCATAAGGCTTCGGCAACTTGAAGAAGTTGAGATTGATGCCGTTGTTGCTACCATTCTTAGGATGTTTCTTAACTAAGACGTGTAGCTTTATTCATATTACTTGCTATTTCAAAGTTTTAACTGTTTTATGTTTTAGTTCTTCTGGTTATTTTGGAATTTTTTTGAGCAGAATTCTGATGATATCTCAGAGTACAAGTGGTGCAAGATTCTTTTTTTTTCTTCTTCTTTATTTTCAATGACAATGGTGTCTTGTTCAGCTTTATTCACACCTCAACTAATATTCCGCGTACTTACTACACTGATCAGCATAGGTACTGATAATTTATCTATCAAGGTTTGGATATAGGGAATAATTCTGCTACTCCCTTTTGAACAATGTGTAAAGGTAAAGTTCGATTAATGAAGCTAGTTAGAGATGAGAGAAAACCAAGAGAAATTTGTTAGTTCCATTCCCGTGAAAATAGCACGGGCTAGTCAGTTTTCGGACTGGTAATTGAAAAATAGCCATCGTTTGCAAAGTCATTGAAAAATAGCCACTATTTTGCTGCAACAAGGAAACTTCCAGCATAATATACTGGAGATTGGTGCACCTATGTAGCACGTGTAGTACTGGAATTCCAGCACACAGAAAGTTCTAGCATAATATACTGAAAATTGGAGCACGTGTATGTACCTTCAGCATATTATGTTGGAACTGCGGCACATTATGTTGTAAGTTCACATGTAAAAATTTGAACTCCAGTATATTATGTTGGAATATTTTTCGGATTTTGAACAGTGTTTACGTTCAGATTTATCTTTACATAAAAAGTGGCTAAATTTGATTACTTTTAAAACTATGGCTATTCTTCAGTTACCACTTGTAAATCTGGCTATATTTTAATTTCACCCTCCATTCCCTCAACTTTGGAGGCTTTTCTTATGGAGTAATAAGGACACGAGTAGAAAGGCTAAAAATTCTACTTCTTGGCCTATCCTTCCCTTCTTTTATAGTAGAAATGACACTAGGTAGCCACTCTTTTCTAGGGATTGCTATTTAGGAATTAGCTAGCGCGTCCTGAATTTCAGTTTTTCATTTCAATTTTTCGGGACAAAAGTATTCTGGATTGTCCTAAAGTTAAGAATTTTAGTTTAATATTTCTGGATAAAAAAAAGTATTGGCTAATCTCTAAATAGCATTCATGAGAATGACTATCTTTGCACTTGCCTCTCTTTTATAGCTCTTATTGGCTCATTTACCTAGGAAGAATAACTAAGCCTCACCACAAACATTTCTGTCGATAAACTACACAGTATAATCGCTCTAAAAATAATAATCGGTATATCAGTATATTTTTTTGTATATTGGCTAGTGGATGCAATTATTTATGGTCAACCGGCCAGATGTGTAACTTATCCTTTATCTTAGAGAAATTTTCACAAACCACTTTTGTTTAGTGGTTATTAGCTAGATGTAGGTACCATTTACTATATTACTTTCTATAGCTATGTTTTCAGTTTTGCTAGAGTGTATTCGATGTATTTATTGTATTCATGAATACAGTAGCAAAACTCGGCGTGAAACAGGGGAGTACAACTGGGCAATTATTGTATTCGACTGTATTCACGATATGTATTTATGAATACAGTAATGTAAATAGCATAAATCATGGTCTATTCAGCTATTTTTAAACGGAAAGTGGTTCAATTAACATAAATAGACTTCTAATATAACTCAACAAACTCAATTATAAATCTGAATACATAAATACATCTGAATACATAAATTATATTAATTAAAAAAAAACATATGAATACATTCATGGAATATAACGAGACAGTGAATACAACGAAATACATGGAATACAATGGAAAAAAAGGCAATGAATACAATGAAATACATAAAATACAGCGAGATACATTGAAATACAATGAAAAAAAAGGTAACAGACTCTTCAAGTTGCTCAGCCCCAAAACTCTGTCGTCTTTGTTCAAGAATAACCCTAATGTCATCTCGTCGATAGCAGATTTCGAACCTCTATTGTCAATCCCTGTTTACCCTATGTCAGATTTCGACATTGATACGAAACATAAAACATTGATGTCTTAACAGACTCTTCAACCACTAAAAAAGAAAGAGAAATTCAAAGACAGAGAAACTCAAAATATTAAATAATAAAATTGTTAAAATCTGCTGCCCAGCCGACAGCATAGAAGCTTCTAGACTCTCGTTCGGGTCATCATCACCAGGCCTAATAGGTGGATCAGCATCAAAATCTGGTACAAATGGCGACTCCGACACTGCAGTTGCATCGGTACGGTGATTTGTGGCATTGGTTGAGAGAGAGAGGGTGGAGAAAAATCTGAAAGAATGAGAGAGAAAAATAATACAAAGCGTATTTTATGGCTTAAGGGTAAGAAGTGACCATAAATAGATATTTGACTATAAAAAATAAAAGGTAGTTATGGAATATAATTTTTTAAAAGGCTATTTATTTAAAATAAATAAGATATCAACTTTTGCTACCGGATGTAAAAATTCCTTTATGTTATTATTGTACTTGAAGTTGGTGGGCTTGTGAAATACACAACAATAGGCTTCTATTGCCTGCCATGAGTATTTTGCTTTCTGAATTTGGCCTCAAACCAAATGTCTTATACTTTGAATTTTGTGTTGCATCTCTTTTTCATCTCCGTCAATTTATTTGACCCAAACATTTTTGGTTTCGTAGAGTCAAATTGAAATAGTTTACTGTATTCTGTCATCTTTTAGTAATTTAGCAGTAGTAGTGGAGTATATCGAATATAGAGGATTCATACAATTTACTCTGACTAGTCTTGGATTAATACAGCTAATTGATTGATTACACCGTAGGTAAAATTTGGATTCACATTTATTGTTCAAATTTGAAATGCATGTTATTAATATTATTTTTATTGTGATTTATCTCAGTTACATCTGTTGTTGGTTAATGGGGTTGACATTTTAGATGTTGTTTTTCTCGTTGCTATATATTTGATTGGTTAATTTTAAGTATTTATTTATTGCCTATGTTGACCTATCTCATCATGGTTTCCTCAATTCCCCGCCATTACTGTCTAAAAATGGAAATGCTCTCCTTTTAATTGGTAAAATATTCTTACTTTCAACTAGCAGTAGGAAATTTTAGTCATTTCAGGAATAAATAAGATAGTATAATATTTTCGATTCTGTGGAGTGTGAGAAATACCAAAATAAGAGTATAAAATTCAAACATGGAAAGGCTGCTGATAAATAGTTGATTCTTATATTGTTATTCATTATTCAACTGGACAAAATCTACAAATGTTCAACTGTTCAACCATGGCTTGATGGGACGACCTGCTGCAACCATCACTAACGTTAAAAAAAAGTCGTCTCGTGCACTAAGTATTTTGTATTTATGTAGGATTCGGAAAAATACACACACCCAAGAAATATGACGTAGACAGCCGCTTTACCATCTCATAAATTGTGCAATTGAATTTCTACATGCATGTCTCCATGCTTTTTCAACGTACTTGTTAATTAATTCCAACGGATATAATCATGCTGAATCCTGCTACCTACAAAGTCTTAAGTCAAAGATTATGCATATTTACAAGATAATGCTACAATATTTGGCCACAAGGCAATTTTAAAAAGTCCTTTTTTTATAACCATGTGGTATTATGTATTAATTGGCTCGACTAATCCAGATATGCGCCTTGTACGACTCATCAAAGGGAGAAGCACACTTTCCAAGAATTTCTTCTTTTACAATGCTTGAATTCGAGACATTTGATTAAGGAAGGAAGTAGAGAGGGATTTCGAATTTTGGGGAATACATATGCAATATTACAAAGAGGTGGATCGAGATCAGAATATAAATTTTATGGATTCAACC